CAGTTTTTTGTATTTTCATGGTATAGCCATTGAAAATAAACTTGTGCAATTTGTCATGTATTAGTATGAAAATCGAAAAACTATGTAAAAGTCATTTGAATAATTGACAAAACTGTAGGAAGCTCGAATATCATTTGAAACTTATTTCTCTCAAAACTATTGAAATGTTAAACGATAAGTGTGGGATGGGTATGAGATAATAACAACATTCACACTCGCACCCACCCTCACAAGTATTTCTATATCCGAAAAATATGTGTTTTTTTTATTCTAATATATTAATTTTTTTTTAAAAGAAAAGAAAAAAATTTAAAGGAAATATTCAAAATAAAGTTAATTATAATAATGTTTGTGAAATGTTTGAAGAATATGTTTGTAGCGTTGTAGAACATTTCCATACTGAATAGATAAATAACTTTTTCGAGCTTCTATATCTCTTAATTGGTGATCAGGATGTTAATTATACTATTTAAAAAGAATTAATTTTTTAAATTAGAATCACATAAAATTAAATCAACTATTTTACTTCAATTTCATTGAAAAGACGTTGTTTAACAATTCGCTAAAAGCGTTTCATTTTTTCGTTATTAGTTTGATCAGTCGATCGAAGAAAATACATTTCATAAACACGTTGTGTCTGCTTCTAAAATTATCTCAAACAAAATAAATAAAATCAAATACATACACAAAAAAGCTTACTTTAGTTAATTGAGGGTGTGAGTGTGTGTGGTTGTGTGTATTTACTTCAACAAGGACTCACACCCACATCCGTATGTTTTTTTGGGTAATACGATAAATGAAATAAGGAAAAGAATCTTCTCCTTCTAACTTACGTGTTAATATTTGATCACCAAATAGAAAAAAGTCTATTTCGCTTCTTATTTTTGTTACAAATAAATCTAGATTTGTTGTTGTTGGTGATGGTAACCATTTCTTTATTTATGTAATTATATCATCAAGCTTTAAAAAAAACAATTTATTTTGAGCTTAAACAAATATTTTTATTTACTATAAATTCTGTATTGTGTTCAGGATCATTTTTTTCGACACAATCAATATTTTAATAGAAATCAAGTGATGGTAATTGTTAGGATCCGTGTTCGAGATGAACATTGAGAAAAGAAAAAGAAGTTGTTCAGTTGTGGTTTTGGTTCAAACAAAATCTGTTTTATTTTCAAAAAAAAAGGAGAACAACAAGAGAGGAAAACAAAAGAGAGCCATCCACGTAGACGACTATCTATATAAAAGAAAGACAAGAAGAATCATCCATCGATCATATAGATTGCGATCCTGACTATAATAAATATTACTTTGTAAATTTTTATAATCAAATTATTTTACCTAGGATGTTTTATTTTATATAAGTAATTAATATTCTTTTTTTAAAACTTACTCTTGATCAAATATCCGACGCGTAAATTTACGTGAAATTTTAATGCCAGAATCACTTTCAAATCGAACTAGAAAATCAAATATAACGAAACATAAATAATATTTTAACAATTTACTTAATTTAAATTTCATAATCTCATCTTCATCAAGATTATTATGCAATTCAGATTAATAATCATTTGCAATTATTTGATGTTCTATGCGTTAAAACACCAAAAAAGTTATGATACATGAACGCAAATGGAACATCTTCATAAATTTCATCGATTAGAAGACAATGATATGATGTCTTGTTGACCTTGTACTCTCCTATATCAACGTAAACATTATAGTTGAAAGCCATTTCTAAATAACCTAAACTTAATATTGTTTTGCGATTGATTTTAATATAATTTATTTAATTTAAGAATAAAAATCATGTTGTTTTCTGTTCTTCTTAGGTTTTCATTATTGAACATGAGATCCATTTTTAACGATTTTACTTGACTTGTGAAGGTGTCGATTTTTAATTGCATGTTTTTTATTATCTCATCTTGCTGAAAAATGAAAAAAGAGATGTGTCCGTGCATTGATCGAACTATACAAAATATAGAACTCACTTGGTTGTTCTTTGCTTGTTCCTCGTAAAATTTAATTTTATACTTATTCTCCTAAGTTTATAAAAATAAAATTATAAAAATGCAATTTATCGTCGAAATTATTGCAAATGACTCATTGTGGGTAAGACACCAACAATTTATCTTTACATAGTTTATCAAATAGCTGAGCAAAAATAAAAACAGCTTTATGTTTGCTAATTCAGTAATTCTAACTTCTACAAGAATATTATATAGGAATATGAGAAACATCTGAAATTTGCTATCTTCTATCCATTAGAGTCGATCGAGAGAGCCTATGTTTATTAGACTATCCGAAATAAATACAAATACCTGTGACTCACTTTTAATGTATATATATATAATTAAATTCTATACTGTCCTATCAAGTTGTTGTTTAAGGTTTTTGATAGAACAAAACGTAAAATATTTTTTTACAATCTATATCAATAAAACAACGATTATTTCTTAATGGATGCTTCTAAAAAAACAGAAATATGGTTATCATACATAGTTTTTACAATTAGAAATGCATAAAAAATAACTAACTTTTATATTTGTTAATAAATGCAAGTTAGAGTTTCTTATATTAATATATGGAATATTTGCATATTAATGATAAAAACATCGAAGTGATTTGATCCGTTCTTTTTTTTCCTTCTTGTGCTTTAACTGTAATTTTAAAATCTTATATTTGTATGATATCATTTCATTTTTTTGGTATCCTGCCATCATCTTCATTTTTTTTTCTAAGTTTTTATTAATTTTTTTTTGCTTTTTAATTTCCAATTTATTCTGAGTTTTATGTTAAATAACTCGAACATGTGATCACGTTTCATTGACGCTACTTCTCCTCTTGTATTATTGATTTCGATCTTTAAATTTTGGATATTTACATCCAACTGAAAGATGAAAAAAACATGTCTGATGCATTCAACAAGCTACACACAATATAGATCTCACTTGAAAGTTTTTGGCCCGTTCTGCATAAAATTTAATTTTATATTTGTTTTCCTAAGTTTATGAAAAAAAATAATAAAAATGGATGATGTTTGGAGTAAAAAATACAAATTTGCAAAACAAAACCATGCAAAACGATAAACATGCAATAGTAAGAATTGTATCATCACTTACGCCGTCCGATTGTGATGTTAACACTGCTGGCATGACCTAGAGAGTATGATGAGATTAACAAAAAGTCTTAGAAAGCAAATCTATTCAAAATTCCACAAAAAGCTGTCTATCTAATAAACACGCATACATCACAACTATCAAAGAACAAGGATATGAATAAAAACATATAAAAAAAGAAGGGAGTAATGTGGAAAGTAAGGTTCTACAGAGTGCACATATAAATGGGAGTTTAGCTAAAATATGGCTTACGAATACTCGACCTATTTGTTTGAACATTGCAGTTGAGCCTATCAAATTATATGAAACAGCTCAGTAAAAGAGATGCAAGAATGTAAACATTTTTGTTAGAAAAATCTACTAACGGTAAAATGATTACGAATGTTATTTTTGCTTTAAAGCGCAAAAATAAAATTGGAATAAATTTGAACTTTTTTCTAAAGTATATCAGTTTATAACTCGTCTTGAGACAAAGTAATTTATGTATTTTTTGTCTTTGTATTTTTTTTTCATATAGAAGTTGAACTTTTTCTTAAAAAAATATACAATTTTTTATATTAACGAAAGAATTAGGATGCTGACTCTATCAGATGTTCACATCTAAAGAACGAGTATTCTACATTTTATACTAAAAATACCATTCGCAAATAGTGTCACTAATATAATGATAGTATCAAAACATCCGAGAGATGGTAGGTCAGCTATTTTTGACTCAAGTTAAGTATTGATCGTTTCAGTCCAAGTCAAAAACTACTTAGACTAGCCATGTCTGAGCTATTTGAAAAATATTAAGAACTTACTAGATAATTTTATATTATAAAGAATAGACGAATCACGTATCTAAAAAACGTTTTTGTAACTCATGAAGAAACTGTGTGAACATTCAGAGTCTGCTGCATTCTAGCATGCATCAAACATAATAAATTAATTCATAATTTTGGTCTAAATAAATAAAGAGCATTCAGTTCAATAAGATTTTCTTAAATAAATATATTACATTCAATATATGCAGTTGGGTGTGGGTATCAATAGAAATTTAACACGGATACCTACACCAACACACCCACACACATTGATACCCACCCGCATTCTCCTTGAATACTAAGTTTATAATGAAGTATCATCACAAGAATAGCTGGATGTTACCTTGACGGTATGGGTGTGGGTCAACGGTGCGTATAAAAGGAAAAGATCCACGGTATACCCTCAAGATGGTTACAGTCTTGCTGTATTGATCAATATATATTCCTACGCTTCATCATTCCAATCACCAGTCAAAATTTCTTTGTTTAATCATTAATAAGTGATTGTTAGTGTTACCTACGACCTTCGAAATATATTTCATCCCGAACATCCTGCATATTTAATTGAACTTTATCATTCCGAACATTTCATCTTTTTTCTATTGTCCGGAGATTGTAACAAAGTAGTGATGCTGAAGTTCAGAATAACGAAGTGATACAAAACGTAGTTTTCTCGTGAGTGTAGATATCATATCCATCTGTTACTCACATACACCCACTCTTATTAATATTTATTAGGATCTTTACAAAATAGATCATTTTCAAATTCTTTCTTAATGAGCACTTTGATATATATTTCTTCATTAGATGGATTAAGTGTGTATTTAGTTTAAATCTCTCAATCTTTGTTTCTACTAATATTAAACTTGATTTGAATATAGATAAATGATGTATCAATTTAATCCTTTAATTAAATATGATTATTAAATCATTAATAAAAATAAAAAACAATTCTTTTCTCATGTTTCAATAGATCTATTTATTTTAAAACTACACTTAAAATACGAACGTTACAATAGTGTTTTAATCTATTTCATACATATATATATAGAGAGAGAGATAGGCAGAATCTTGATTTTTAATCGATAGATTCTGATGGGATAGATCGAATACGGCGACTACGACGCTGTTGTTGATATGTTGTTGAATTGGAAACAATTTCATGTAATGGTTGTTCATATTTTGCGCGTAAACGACGTTCAAAACGATTAAAACTTTGACGTTGACGTTGTATTTGTCGTTTTAATTGACGAAAATTTAAACGACTTGTTCCTAGAGGTAATGAATGTCGTCGTCGATGACGATATTTTTCTTTAAGTAAACGTGCTTCAATTTGTACTTGCATATTTTCATTAATTAATTTACGTGCTTCATGTTCAAGGCGTATACTTTCTTCTTGTAAATGAGCTGTAGTCATAAGTAATTCATTCAATTCACTATCTTCAAATAAATATTAAATAGAAATAAAAGTTATATATATATATATCTAAATATAAATACATACGAAGTTGTTCTAATAATTGATTATATTGCTCCATGGCTGTATTATCAACTTGATTTTGATCGATCTAATTTAAAAATAGAAAATTTAATAATACAAATTTTCGAAAATTTAAACTTACTTCTCGTTCTCGACACATAATAAGTGATGGTTCAGTCGTAGATCTAAATAAACATTAGTTTGTTTTTTTTTTCATCAAAATATTCCATATCAATAATCATCACACTCCCCCTCTCTGCTTTATTGCTACCATCATCATTTACCTAGTATCGACTTGTCGAATACAACACACAAAAAAAAAAGAAAAAGAAAAAGAAAAAGAAACAAACAACAAAAGAAAAAAAAGTGAGAAACATGCAGAAAAAAAAAGAAATAAATCTGGCAGATACAAACGACTGGTTCGCTGTTGTGTTTAATGAATATATGTTTACACATATATATATATATATATATATATGTGTGTAAGAAAGAAAGTGAAGAAGGATTGCCCAAATATATATGCAAAAGAAAATGAAAAAAAAATTGAAGTTTTCTGGTAAACAGCTTGATTGTATATGAAAGTGGAGAATAATCTGGCATTTGAATTTTTTCTTAATTAATAATCTATTGTCGGTTATTATAAGAAAGACAACAACTAGTATGTAAGAATCGAAATGTTTGAAGACGATTTTGCCATGGTGAAATAGCAAATGGTAAAGAAGATGATGTTCGTTGACGAGTTTCAAGTTCACCTTTTTGACATAAACATAATGCTAATACACGAACATATGATGCAACATGATCATCAGATATTAAATAGTCAATATCAGTTAATGCTATTGGATTCATTGTCGAAGAATTTTCTAGTTAAAAAGAAAAAATTTAAAAAATAGAAACATATTATAGATATAGAATATCAACATGAAACAATTGTATTACGTGCCGAAATTGACTATAAAATATGTCCTCTTTCTCGATGTTCTATATGAAAATATAGAACAAGAGAAGACATGAATACTGATTCTGTCTATGTTGGTTTTACATGATATTTACTAGGAATTATAGATACAACAAATGACGTACGATTAACTTCAAAATGAATCACAATAGATTCTGATAGGTATCTCTAATTGTTTTGAATTTGTTGATTATAACATATCGTATGACTCTCTAACATTGTCTATATAGTCTAATTTAATATCATCGAAAAATCTGTGATTTTCTAACTATATATTATTGAAACAAATAATAACTCTAATAATAAATATTGACATACGTGTTGTATTACTATTTATTCGTCTCTTCAATAGAACACGAGTATAATTTGAATTAATTTGTGGACAAACTTCAATAATATACTGACATACTCCGCTCTAAAAAAATACAATTTTTGAAACATTATTTTTTTTTTAATATAAATATTCAAAACTTTACTTTTAATATTTTCATATCAAATGAATAATCACTTTCATTATAAATAATAATAACATAATTATTTCCAATTAATTTCTTTTTAAATTCATGATCAGATCGTGTATTTGGCATCATTGTTGATGTATGAAATAATACTATAATATAAGAATAAAAACAATTATTTGTTTTATAAAGTTAAATAAATTTTATTCACCTTGATAAATTGAATTTTGCCATATATATGCATATTGACCACAATTATCTGAATTATTTGGATCTAATAATGGACGATAAAAATTATCTTGTTCTAAGTCTTTTATTGATTTTATTATCGCTATTGATAACATAAATTGTTTATATCGTTTTGATGTTTGAATATTTGATAAAATTTTTAGTTCAGTAATTTCCTAAAGAAAATTTAAAATAAAGATTTTTATGTCATTTATCAAATTTTACTTGTCCAGGATGAATATATATGACGCCAATTTTAGCAATACGCACAGGTTTAACATTATCGATTAATTCAATTGATTTACGAGCTTCCTAATTAGGATTTAAAAGAAATAAACAGATAAAGAAAACAAAAATAAAAGATAAATCTTACAGATGGTACACGATCAACTGTTTGAGGATAATAATTTTCATTATGACGATTTAACATATTTTCTTCATCTTTTCGACTAAAAAATGATAAATTATATAATATTACAATGAAATTTAATTCTTACTCAATATTAAGAATAATTGATTCAAGTTCATTATTTAATGCTAATTCATTAATTGAATAATTATTTTGTTCTTGTAGCCAATAATTAGGAATATTATTAACTAATGTTAATTTATCAACACTTGTATCACTTAATTTAATGCCTAAAATAAAAATCATTGTTTGAAATACTTCTGATGGAAACTCACACTATCATTGGAATTTCGACTATAGTTTTCCTCATTAGTCTTTAGAAAAAGTTAATACATCATCATCATCTTGTGAGATAAGTATTACTTGAGTGAAATAAATACTTAACAATACAAAAAAAAAGTAATGTTTAGCAGGAAATCTTACAATATAAGTCACTCAGTAGAATACTATAATTATAGTTTGATCTAAATTTATCCTATTTAATCTTTTACCTTCAAACCAATGAAGTTGCTCATTTTTTGCATGAACAACTCCTGTTGATGCTGATAAATTTATTGCTAAATATGTTTTTGTACTTGTAAATGAACGAACAGTAACTGCAATCCATAAATTTCTTTCATTAAATAATGATCGATTTGTATCTAATTCTAATAATATATATTAATAATATTATAAGAAAAAAAGATGAAAATAAATAATCTAACAAACCTAATGATCGTATATGAAGATCATCTTGACATGTTGTTAAACTTTGTAAATCTTTATTTTTACGAATATTTTGTCTATTTCCATCTGTATATCGTCTATGACGATTTTTCATTGTATCATCAAAATCAGATGTTAATTTAGCTAGAAAATCGTGTGCTTTATTTAGTTGATTGAAATTATATGATTGTATTTGATATAGAATTTTTTCATCGGCTAACCAACTATTATTTATATGATGACGACGTACTTCACGTGGTAATAATATTAAAGTTGTATTTGGAAGAATATATTCACATAAATGATCATTTAAATAACTTATTGTTATACGTATTAATTCATCATTTAATTTTTTTAATGGATTATTATCGTCAGTAGTGGCTGATGTTGTTGAGGATGATGATGATAACATAGGTGGTAAATCCAATACAGTCATTTTACGTTTTAGAATATCACTATTATGTAAATCATCATTTAGTGATGATAAAGAACCTGAACGTTGTAAACGTGTTGGTCGTTCAATTAAAACTGAATCATAATCACGTGAATTTGATGTTTGTTGTAATGACTAAAAAATGATACAAATATGCAATTTGCTATATTTATAGTTTAATTATTCTTACTCGAAGAATAAAATATGAAAATAATTGTCGTTCATTGGTTGATAATTGATTAAAATAGAAACAAAGTAATGTATGAGATAATATAAGATTATGTGATGTTTGATATTGATATTGATTAATAATATCGATTAATATTTGAAAAACATGTGAAATTAATGATGTATCATGAAAATTTTCAAATAAAAGATCTAAAAATTGCTTTTAGAATAAAAATAGTTCAAGAATATTCAACTTACACATTAAAAATTCTAGAATTATTTGTGATGTATAAATATCATAATTAATTGTTTTTGTTAATTGTCGAAGAATTCTTGGAATATATAATTGAATTTCATCAGGAAGATTTGATAAACATATAATAAAAGCTTGAATACTTATAATAATAAATAAAGGTTGAGAAGAATTCATTGCTTCAATAAAACAATCAATTATTTGATTCATTTGTGAGATATGATCTTGATAACAAGTACAAATAATTAAACAATTTAATGACAGTGATGAAGTTGTTTTATTTAATAAATCATTATGAAACTAAATAAGAAGTAAACTGTTTTTTTTAAAGAATCCAAAAATTTCTTCATATCTTACCATGTCAATCAATAATGGTATTAATTGTTCAATATCAATATTACTTAATTGAACAATAGATTGTTCTTTAAGAAAATTGTATAAATATCCTAATATAACATTAATAACTTCTGGCGATTCCTATGAATTTCAATAAAATTTACTGATCAAATAAAACTTCAAGAAAAATAAATCCTACTAGTTTTAACCAATCGACAACATTTGTTAAATAACCTTTAAGATCAAGTAAATTTTCATTCTCAATTGATTTATGTTCAGTGTCAAGTCTTTAAATAAAAAAAGTTATTTAAAAAACAAACTATTTTCTTATTTCTTTGTTCTTACCGATATATGCCATAGACAATAAGATTTGTTTTTACTGAAATCATTCCAATACATGAATCTGACGAACGTATACGAATATTAAATAATAATTGCCAAATAAGAAGGCGTATTTTCGTTTGTATACAAGATACCATTTTCGAATAATTTGCAGAACATTGTTTTAGAAAGAAATTTAATATAAATGAACAATGATTAAATGATGTTAAACGTGTATATGATAGATTTGTTTCAAAAAGTGAATACATTTGTTCAAGTATTATTTCAATTAATGGTCGATGAATTGATTGAATTGATGAAATATGCACACAATCTTCTTCATAAATCTATATATAAAATTATTGTCAAAGAAATATGTAGAATATATAGTTGTTCAAACTATCTTATTAGATTTTCAAATGAACAAAATATTTACCATTTGAAGTATTTGATAACAATCATTCGCTAAATTTGAATCAATTGCATGATCAGATAAAAATTGTTCAAATATGGATTTCACTGCATTTTGTTTCATAAGTGCATGTTTACTAACAAATTCATCTTCACTTATAGAATTTAAATCAATATGAATTAAATTTTTCAATGCTTCAAGTATAATCTGTCCCATCTTTGTCACCTTTATTTAATAAAATAATATTTTTATTTATAAACTATATAGAGAAAATTAATCTATACCTGATCAGTCATTTTAAACCATAAATATTTATCAAATACTGTTGTTAATACATCAATACGTGTTGTTACTAATTCATTACCATTTCTATGTATGCATAAGAAATAAAAAATAGAAATAATTTTTTTTTCGATTAAAATATTTACAAAATAATATATTCAATAAGTTCTCTTAATGCAAATAACCATTCAGGATTATTTGGTCGAATAAGACATAAAAGTTTTGTAAATGATTGTTTAATCATTTGTTCACGAAGTGGTGTTCTCTAATAAATGAAAATCAAGATTATTTTTCAAAAAAAAAAGAAAACTAGAATTGCTAACCGTTATTGATGCTAAACGTTTAATATCAAATAAATGTGCTACCATTGTATGTGGTAAACAACATAATTTATTTGCTAAATCTTCAAATATATTTAAACAATCTTCATAAATCGTTTTTGTTGCACTTGTACCTTTTTGATCATTCTAAAAATTAAAAAACATGTATTTTTATTAAGAGAAAAATGTTTTCTTTTACAGTTAAATATTGATAACATATATTCATAATTTCATTCATCATTTTCCATACAGTCATATTAAATAAATTTAAAGCACATGTAGAATTGTTTATATTAATTGTTGTTAAAAATTGTTTAAAATTAATTAATATTATATTAACATTTTGACGTTTAACTAAAACTTGATGAAGTATTGTTAACCAACATATAGGAAGTTGTTGAATTGTATTTAAAAAACATTTTTGATGTATAATATCATCATTTGATAATTGTACATGATGTTGATTTATAGAACGACCTTGACGTATATCAATTAATGTTTGTGTTAAAACAAATAAAAGTGTTGATAATGGATCGATATCATTATTTATTGGAGTTTCTAATCTAAAATAAAAAAAACATTGTTATTTTGTATGAAAATTATGAAATTATCTTTTATTACCTTTCGACTATTATTCCACATAGAATTGATATAACTGATATATTATACCATGCAACTTTAGCTAATTTTGTGATTAACTAAATAAATTAAAATATTCGTCGAGAATTATAAGTAAATATTAACGAATCTTCTATCTATACAACCGCTGATTAAACGAACAATCGATCCTTTTTCAAATTTAAAAACATGTGAAATGTATTCTTATGTGCTATATCTTAATATGATGGATAGGTCATCAGAGCTTTATCTAGCGTTAAATTTTCTTAAATGTTTACTATAAAAAGAAGAATTTATTAGACACTGGACTTTCATCTGATGATTGTATTTTATTATGATATAAATTCGTAGTAAGCAAACGTACTTGTAATAATTCTGTGTTTGCCCCTGCTAAAAATGTATATTTATCATGTAAATCAACAATATTTTTAATAAAATAATGAAGTAATGTTGTATTTAATGTATGATAATCAATAAGCCAACATAAAAATTCAAATGATTTCTGAAAAAAATTAACATAGAAAATAATATTTTATTTTTATTGAAAGTTTTTACTTTGACTGTTGATTGATTTAAACCCTGATTGTGATTATTAGCATCATCATCATCATGATTTA